AGAGTCCAGCCTGCAATGGCATCAAGCCTCCGGGAAGAGAACCTGGTTCAGGTCACTTGTGTATCTGTCTGTCAAAGTTATCTGGACAACACTGAGGTGGCCACAGAGGGGTAATTGTCTGACTGATACCAAATGACCTACTGTCAATACCTCTTTCACTGGAAGACCATTTGGGCTGGGAAGAAGCAAATTAATATATAATACAGGAAGGCCAAAGTACTAGGAAGCAAAACAAAGTAGGATGGGAGATACAGCACAGCATGCTGTAGGGACACAGCGCAGGCTGACATTTGTGATTCCAAGTTGTGCCAACCCCTCAGGGGTGACTTTCTAAGCCAACAGCGTGGAAGTCAAAAACACACTGGATGTTGAATGGAGAGTGGGGAAGGTGGGCATGAGGCAGAGGCCACACCTGAGGTTCTAAGGGGCAGTACACTCAAAAGAGCAATGGGGTAACAACACAGCACAGAGCCCTGGGCATCACACACTGATAAGCAAAAGAGTGTCATGACTTGATTCCTGCCAGAATCACTGTGCCTACCCTGTCAAAAACAGACTCTAAGAATGGAACAACTAGAAGACAGAAAATGTGCTAAGGGACTAATGCAACAGTCCAGGAACGAGAGCTAGTAGCTGGGATTAGAACCCTAACAGTGGACTAAAGAGTAGATTCAGGGTAGGGGTGAGAAAGAGCAAAGGGATTTGGTAAAGGATGGAATGGAGGGTTTAGAAGAAGCCATGAGCCAGGCCTGCAGGCATGGAACTTTCCCTGAATACAAGAACAACTCACTGTGTCTAACCTTTTATACAAACAATAGAGTTTATATTAAATATCTGGGTTTCTTCCAGGAAATCTAGAATTTTGGCAATGTGCCCAGAAAAGGGTGCCAATGTAACCAGCCTGTAATAAAAATCCTGGGAGTTCCCTCAGGAAGAAGACTATGCAAGCTTCTATTTGGTTTTTGGGACTTTGTCCCATGTATCTCCACACTTGGCATAATCTGCTTGATACTCTTCTGGTAAACTATAACTCTGAGCAGGTGACATCTGGGTCTAGCAAGTCATTTCTTTGACTAATCAAACCTGGGGCAGATTTGGTGATCCCTGATAAAGAAAAGTGAGGAGAAGGAATATTTCAAAGAAAATGCTAGGAGTTTTGCTTGTTTATTTTATCTCAAGTCTCAATTAATTTTGTCTATATTTCTCTTCAATATGCTGTAATCTGTAAATAAATTATTTAGAATTTTAAATCCTCAAAAACTTTCAACACCTTTTTGTTTAAAGAATGAAAACAAAATTTTTAAAAATTTCCCTTGTTTTACCGATAAACCATGGATCTTAATTTCAATTGCATTTCAAGTATGTCCTTTCCTTGTGGTTATGATGTATGATTAATTAAAAGAAGTTACCTGGAAAACATTTACTAACCCTATCCTCTATTCCTCTATGGAAAAAGGACTTTGTTTTCATTAACTGTGAAACTGGTAACTGCCATTTCTGATTGCAGGACTTAGGGGTAAGCTATATCCATTGCCACAAAACTTCAATAATTTAATATTTTTAACAAGGGGGGGCGTCCCAACAGTAAATTACAATTTATGAGAAATGTAAAGAGTAATTCCAGAATAATTCCAGAAGATTCATGAAATTTAGATAACAGGAAGAAGTGTTGCATTTTGTTACCTACAGATTCTTGTTCCAGTCTTTCTTTAGCTCTGCTTTGTAGACTCTCTACATTCCCAAAACCTTTTAGTGGTATCATAAAAGACAGTGAACTGGAAAATTGAAGCACTGTATAGAACTATTGACCAAAATACTAACTTAGTTCTGTAATGTCTTCCAGGGGTGATGAGACCCATCCTAGTCGATCTTTATAGGGCAGACTGTAGAAGCTTTTAAGGCAGGAGCTCAAGCACCTCTTGCCACCTTTTTGCCCAGTATGGTCTCAACAGCAATCCTTTCTATCTCTGCATTCTCTGTACCTAGATTATGGATGTGAACTACTGCTCCAGGTTTCTTATATTTGTAAGTCTTATAGGCCTCTAAATAATGAGGCTGATTTTAAGAAAAAAATTATTATTTTTCAATGTGGTTTATTTTTCCTAATCTCTCTCAAGTTTTAATTAATTTTTTTTACTTACTTCAGAAACTACCTCTCTCTCATCTGAGATTCACATTTGGAAGATTATCTGTACTTCCCAAAGAAGTCAAATTCCCCATAAAAAGATGATATCCCAGTTAGTCAGAATGAGGTCTCAAATCAAAGGAAAATAGCAGCAGAAATACGATGCACTTGCTTCTACATCGTTTCTGTTTGTGTTCAAGTTGGAAGGGGAATAGCACACATGAACTTGATTGGATTACAGGGGCAGATGTAGATACACAGATGTGTGAACACAGCCCCATGGTTAGAAACTGCAGTTTAATGAGCTTCATTCCATCAAAATACTCATTGCATGCAAATAAAAAAATATTTTTTAAAAAATTCACTTGGAAACACTGTCCAGACTAAATGTGCTTAGCTTTGAGTTCTGTCTTCTAACAGCTGAACAATGGGGCAATTTTCTGTAATGACATGTATCCCAGATGAGTCAATGTTGAATTCAAACATGTCTTCCTCTTACCATAATAAAGGTAGTAGAAGCTGCCTGCTGAGAAATATTGTTGGCCAAGCACTGAGAACAGAAGGGGATATGTGTGTATGTATGTACAGTTGTACATCATGTGTACACACAGATAGATAGACAGACAGACAGACAGACAGACAGACTGAATGATTCTATTTGGTACTCTGCAGAGGAACATCCCTTGCTGGAATTTCTATAAACTTGTATGATAGAAAATTTTCCTCTTGTACTTTTCATAAATAAAGCAAGTGCAAAGATAATTTGATCTATGTAATTTCTGTTAATTATCTCCTTGTAAACAGAGGAACTCAGTGAAGAACAGTAGTTAGGAAGTGAGGAGGTACGTGGCTGACTGAAGTACTTAGTATAATAATGTCTTCTAAAAGCTCCTATCTGCCTGGAATGTGGAAATAAGACTTTGTTTGGAAACAGGGTCATTACAAACACAAGTGAGTTAAGATGAGATCATACTGGATTAGCATACAACGGTCCCTGTCCTGGGTAAGGAAAGGGTCATGTGCACAGTCAAAAAACACAAGGAGACCACGGAAGCAGCAATGCTGCCAGAACATGGAATAACAAAGACTACAGGCAGCAGCCACAAGCAAGGATAGATTCACGAGTCAGATTCTTTTGTAGAATCTTCAGGTCGAGTTTGGTCCTGCTGATACCTGGATTCAAATCACAGGCTGCAGAAGTGTAAGAGAATAAACTTCTACTGCTTGAAGTCAACTTGTTACAACAGCCTTGGGCTATCTTATGACCTCCAAATTAAACACATAAATATTCACTCTACAAATATGGCTGAGATATTGTCCATTCCGCTTCCATAAAATTGATAGATGAGGACATATTTACAAAAAAAAAAAAAGCATCTAGCTAACTCCAAGAGCATCCTATTTCATGGAACCAACTTTTACTTATGATGCAGCTTCCCTTGAAAGCCCAGACTTGTACGAGGCCCCAAAGTAATATTCAGTAACTACTCTTAAACAAATGCTTAATCACACACAAAATACTGAGCAAGATGACAATGTTGAGATAGATAGTCTATCAAAATAACAGCTTGAATCCTCCTAAGACGAAATTAAGGCACAGAAAGAAGCTAACTGTATTTTGGAAAATACAAACAAACTATTAAAACCTGAAATCAGGTCAACAGCACATAACAGCTTTTTGAAGATCAGAATAGCTGTTCCATAAATGTTTAATGAACTAGTTAATGTCTAACAGAAATATATCAAGCTTATTAATGGTTATACTTGTCGTGTCCTCGTAGTCATAGTTCTAAATACATCTGCATATCTAATTTAATTTACATATTATTTTCAGAATTTTGAAATTCAACGAGTTAAATACACATCAAGAATATGGTCATTTAAGTGACAAACAATTACGTGTCCTCGTAGTCATAGTTCTAAATACATCTGCATATCTAATTTAATCTACATATTATTTTCAGAATTTTGAAATTCAACGAGTTAAATACACATCAAGAATATGGTCATTTAAGTGACAAACAATTATTAAGTAGTACCAGAATTACATTTTTTGACCATGAACAGAACAAACATGGCCCTTGCCTTCTGGGAACTTTAAAGTTACGCTAACAGAGATTTCTTATACAAGAAAGTATGCAAATGATGACATAGAATTGTCAAAGAATGTAATGTCATGAGGACTCCTCATTCAGCCTAAGCTCATGTGGTCTGTATAGGACCCAGGGGGTCCAAGCATTCCAGAGAAGGGACTTCCCCCTAAGGAAAGTCTCCTTACTTGAGATTGGAAGATAAGAAGGAATTCAAGAGAAATAACAAATTATAAAAACATTTGAAGAACACCACCCCACACCCCCGCCCACTCTGGAAGGCCAATACCTTCTCCAAATGTCATATGAAAGAAGTGTAATACAAGAGTATAAATGCGTTAAGAATCTGGAAGATCCATTTCAGTTGAGATGAACTTCCTTAGCCCAGTATTGCTGTGTGAGCCTCTGGCTATAGACCTACTATGTGACAGATTCTCGTCTTTCCCAAGTCATCAAGAAAATAGAGCCATGCCAATAAATGTCATTTTCAATCATTTTTACCAAGCTGGAAAATTAGACTTGCTCAATTTTCTTTTATTTCTTTGGTAGGAGATGACAGGCTAGAAATGCGATTTACATTCTAGAGGAAAACAGTAATCTAAAACATTTTAATCAGCATCTTTATACTATGGATATTCAAGAAGACCTTATTTCATGGCAAAGTGGAACAGAAACAATTATACATATATGTAAATCAATCAAGAAGGCTGCCTTTTGAGATAAAACAATGTTTGCAAGTTTATCTTTGATCAGAGTAACTGAGCCGCTAAGAATTCATAACTTACCTTAAATACTTCCATTGGAAGAGGAAACTCAGCAGCAACAATAAGGGATTTTTCCAGAGCACATTTCCATTCAGAGGTCATCTTCAGAGGATAGATTTCTGTATCAACAGCAAGCCACAGAAGAGATTAAGAACCACAGTGTTCGTTTCTTTCTTTTACCTTCCCATGCTTCTACGACACCCCAGTACATGCCAGCCATCATCGGCATTTACACTCTGTACACCATAAACAGCCACCTGCTCAAGGGATTTTCTGAAATTAAATAGCAACTTGGGATTCTGCTATCAGAAACGAAGAATAAACTTAATAGGGCTCTTCCTTGGGGACATATTAATCACATTAGCAATTAATCACATGGTATTAATCACATTAGCAAAACCTTGGGCCATCCACAACATCCAATTCCATATACCACCTAAGACATGCCAACCACTGATGAAGAACTTATTATCTGATAAATGTCTAAACTACAAATGACTCTCTTCTCACATTTGCTACTATTACAACCTATTTTTCTAAGCTCTTACATGCTAAAAGTAGTCCCTAAATAAGTTAGAACATCACTGAAAGGTAAATTAAAATTTACCAACCAGATTTCATATTTACACTTGAAATGTTACTAATACATCATGGGTAGCCCTTATTTTTTCCCAGGCTATGGGGTGCGGTGGGAAGGGAGGGGACGAGATTTATGTGTGGAAGTTACACAGTTTGAATGCAAAATTAAAAGGTAAAAAAATCTGTTGAGCACTGTGTTCACCTATTCCAGAAATGGCAAGGGAATTTTATGGCCTGATCTCAACAGATTTAAGGCCTTATCAAAATAGGATTTGCTGAAGCACTCAGTGGAAGTAGATATGTTTATATCTTCTCTATATCAACCTTGGCGACATCAGCCAGACAGTTAGGATATGAATATGAATTTAAGCACAGTTAAAAGGCAACATTAAACCTTTGGGCATATTTTTCATTTCTTGTATGTCTGCTTTTTTAACTTGGAGCCATATATTTGGATCTTTGTGGCCTGTGAACTCACTCTGAGTTCTAAGCCCCTCTGTTTTACCAGCTGATTTAGTCTTTTCAGGACATCATAGCAGTAGGTCTGAGACGTTGATGCCACAGCTAGCCAAGTTATACATGCACTGCCCACTTTCACTGTTGATTACCTAAATGCTGATCCCTGACAAAGTATTCTCTACCTGTGTATACTATCTAAAAATCCTTCCAGTATGTCATATGGAGCCTTCTGCTTCTAGCAAAAAAAAAAAAAAAGAAAGAAAAAAAAGTAAAAGAAAAGATTCAGTAGATCAAAACAAATCAATGTGATTGACTATGTTAGTGGTAGCATCTAACATACTTATAGTGACACATTGGGGCCCTGGGGCCCGATGCATGCTTTGGAAGAGACTGAATGAATGCTTCCTCTACAGATGAGAAGGATGTGCTGAGCAAGGCACAGCACTGCTTCTTACAGGGACTAGTTCTCAGAGCTGCCTGACTGGTTCCCTGAGGGTGAAAAGGGCACCCTGGGCAAACTAATGGTTCAAGGTCACAGGCATGGAATCAAAGCTTTAATGGAGAGAGAGGCAATCCAGAGATCTCTAGAGGGCCAGGCCCAGAAGACACCAACTCAGTGACACAGACAAGCAAAAGAAAATGGCCTGGAAGATCCGGCTTTCCTGCTATCTGGAAGTAGGCAGATGGACAGTTCAACTTCACGTGAAGGGCCAACAGAACCAACTTGTGGGTTCCTTTGAAAAAAGAGATTTCCAAAACTAGAACTAAATGAGAGTCTGAAGACACCAAGGAGAAATCAAGGAAAGAGTTGAACCTCACTGGACCTTTTGCTCCCTGGCTCTGGGAAGCCTGATCCATTTCACCATTGACTGTGATCTCTGAGTAAGACCAAAGAGTCCTTGAATCAGAAAAAAAAAAAAAAAGATAAACTAGGGGCTAAAAGAAGCATGGAATGTGAGTAGGAATAAACGTCCGGCATGGCCTGGGTTAAATCTGTAGTAGTAGAACTTAGCCCAGAGAAGAGAAGACCCTCACGGGGCTACCAGAGCCCTCCTGAGACCAGTCTCACACACACAAGGGCTCTGGAATCTGGGCCTGCCACATGGTCTCCCAAGAGCCAGCCCTTCCAACCACGCATGACCATGTCAGCTCTCACCCTCCATAGATGACATAATGCAACAGGCAGCCCAGGTCACAGGGGAATTTCTACCTCTGTCTTACAAGCTTAACTCTTCTTCATCTTCTTTGGAGACTAGATTTTTAAACCCTAAGCAGAATCCATTCCACAACAAGGAAACCCTCTCTTCTGCAAAGGTGACACTCAGCTGCAGTTGGGACAGTTTCCTTAAAACCTCCTGCTAAAGCTAAACACCCCCCAGAGGCAACAAGCAGAGAACATTCATTCCCTCTCTGTGCTTGTCAGGAAACAAAGTCACTTCAGTTATGCTGGGAACTTTATAGACAATAACTAAGCCCTTTAAAGGAACATAAAGCATTTCCTTAAAATGGTCATGTCCAGGTAATTTAACAGCATGCCATTATCCCAGCTTCTGCTTGTGCAGGGAGCCATATGCAGTGAAAACATGCCCTCACTCATCTGTAACTAAAAGCCTATGAGAGAATGAGTTGCCCTCTTTGGACAAGGGTTTTTAGCAAGTTGTTTTGGAATGTGTGTCACAGGATGGAAATGTATGACATAATGCTAAATAAATGAACCAACAGTACACAAAGGCATGGAAGTAAGGTCCTGCTTTCACGTGACCAACTCCACTTTGGTTCTCTCCTTCTCTTTTCTAGTGACCAAAGACACTTTATGGTTGTTGAAGGGATGGGAAATTCATACAGGGAAACCCCGATCCGCAGTATGACAGCACTAGAGAAGGGCATGTGGAGAGGTCTCGTGAAAAGGGCCTTTGAGAGGAGCCTCCTGTCCTCACAGGAGAAGGCAGGGCTCTCCCTCATCCATCACATGAAGACCCAGCCAGGAGGCAGCGATCTACAAGCTAAGAAGAGCACTCTCACCAGCCCCCACATGCCAAAACCTTGATCTTGGAAACACATGTTTTAGAAAAATAAAGGCCTGCTGTTTAAGCTGTGACACCGTGGTTGATTTTTGTTGCTGTTTTGTTTGTTTTTGCTTTTGTGGTAGTGGGGATTGAATCGAGGGTTCCACACTTGCCAAGTAAGCATTCTACCACTTAAGTGGTAGACTTGGTTCTTGAAACTTCAGTCTATTTTTCAGAGAGGGACTTGTGCTTTTGCTCAGGCCAGTCTAGGACTACTTCTACCTCCTGAGTAGCTTACAGGTGTGTACAGTCATAGCCAGCTTAAATCCGTGGTACTTTATTATAGCAATCCATGAACACAACTACTGAAAGCAACAACTCTTTTGGAATAAGAAACAGTTTCGGCAAGAAGCATTTAGTATATTCAGAGCCAGGCACTGGCTACCTACTCAGGAGGCTGAGATCTGAGGATCATGGTTCTAAGCTAGCAGGAAAGTCCATGAGACTTATCTCCAATCAATCACCTGAAAACCGGAAGTGGATCTGTGGCTCATAGTAGTAGAGTGCTAAACTTGAGCAAAAGCACTCAGGGACAGAGCCCAGGCCCTGAGTTCAAGCTCCATGACTACCACCCACAACAACAAAATGATACTCAGAAATTTCTGACTCCAAAGGTTTTTCAAACAAGACTTAAAAATTGGAAGAAAGATTTTCAAAGAAAAAAACCCTAAAACTAGACGAGAAAAAGAAGACTTCAAAAAGTTTCATCTTCATGTCCCTACGTTCCTACAAGAACATCAAAAGTCCATCTTGCTTCCTAACCACTGAGAAATAGGAAAAGCAGATGGGACCTCTTAAACAACTCTGGCTTCAGTTACCTACTGAAAATACTAGGGAAACTGGGGTAGATTCAAAATACATTGATCACAGTTGGGATCTCTAGAAAATGCCAAGCATTTGATCTACCATATGCCACTTAGCACACACAGCATAGCGATCTACCATTTCTTGAAGGTAATGACTTTTCTTAAAGTTGAAATGACTTTCCAGCTACTATTACCAATTTCTCTTGTCTCAATTTGTACTGAATAGTTAAGGAAATTCTGAGCCCTTTAAAAAGTAAGCAGAATTAAGTACAACTAAAGGAAGTATCATGATTGTCTTTAACAGGAATGACAGTGCTGAAGGTGCATAGCAAAAAACATCAACAAGCAGATCAACTCAGTAGGCTTCCTTCTTCTCAAGGATACCTATGGCATCCATAGTCTCCTCCTACCATCCCATTTCCCTTCCAATGAGATTCTTTACTGTCAGTTAATACTGGACACTTCCCATTGATCTTAACAGTGTCTGGGAAGAAGAGAATCCACCTAGTATTTCCTATTCAAGTCTAAGATTTCATTTCCACTTCTATTTCAATTGAGGAAATGGTGCTACCGTGTTCTACAAGTCACCCTGGGACTTAAAATTACTTTATCCAAATCCAGAGTATCAGATTCTGTTCCCAGGTGGAAAGCCTGAGTAATAATTGCCTCTCTTCCCAGGGGTGTTGTTTCGCTGAATGAAACCACAGAATCTAGTCTTTATCTTTTAACTACTGCATCTAAGAAGCTAAAGCTTACTTTTGAGTGTCATTTTGCCTTTTACTTTCTTTTTTCCATACACAACTATTCTCGATGATATGTGAATTGTCGGGGAAGTATATTTTAGGCAATAAAGCCTTGGTCCAAAACATTTAGGGATTTCTCCTGAGCTCTTTGATAAAATGCATAAGTCATGTCCCGAAATCTTGGAGACAAATATGCACAATTTCTTTATAAATTGAGAGCTCACAAGCATATGCTCCCTGAGGTCCCAAGGGGATACTTTGCATTCTTGCTTCTGGGTGTGAGTTCTGAGATTTCATAGACAAAGAATACAATAAAGAACTTAAGAAATTAGTAGAAATTCTGTGCTGTGCTATCAGTGTTTACACGACAAGTATATGGTCCTCCTCAAAATTATAAAGCAATTAGGCAGCAAGTTGAAATTTATACACACACCTTCCTCTATGAAATAAAATTATAATTTCCAAGGCAAACCCCTAGCATTCTGATCTTTCCTCACAATAAACAGGTCTTGTTTATCATCATCCCAGACTATTCAGGGTTGACAAGGATTTCCTGGTTGCATATCAAAACACTGACAACAACATTACAAAAATAGTAACAATACAGAAACAATAATGCTAAATTATAAGTCTATACACCTATCAGATTTAACACAGATTCAAATTCCTAGGATCTAGAACCAGGAAGGTTTTAACAAAGCCCTTGAAGTGACAAGAAAGGTAAATACAACCCTTCACCTTCATACACTACCTTCAAAACCACCACTGACAACTAATATGGGAGAATTCTCTCACAATTTTAGGGAGGTGGTAATTGCTCCAAATATACCTTCAACATTGAACTAAATAATTTCTGAAAGAAATCAATATTTCTTCTCTGACATCATTAATTCCATAAAAATCCAACATTTCTGTTCCAAGGTCACCATCACTAGGTTAGTAGGACCAGCAACAGGGGCAAAGGAGTGGAGAAGGCACAGGACCTAGGAATCTGAATTGCAGCACCTGCTCTCTACCAGCTGGCAAACCTTAAATGAACAGCTTAAACAGGTCTCACTTTTTTAAATTGAAAAATGAATCTTACACCAAACATATAGCATATTTTTAGAACCAAAAATAAACAACAGAGCAGGTGTAAAAACACCTGGCATATGGTAAACATTCATGAATGGTTATTTTGTAAACACTGAGATTTTTTTTTTGACTAGTTAGGTATGTCAGAAAGCATAATGCACTCTTCTATCCAATTATGCTTGTGCAAAGTCATTTGACAGTGCCTTTGTAGCTATCTAAAACTGATTTTGTGCCAAGAAAAACAAAACAAATAAACATATTGATCTTGGTGTTGTTTCCTTTTCAGAATGGACTTATTATCCAAGCAAACTATTTGAGTATCTGAATGGATGAACGAGTGGATAGATGGATATGGATGACTAGACGGATTGTGATATGAATGGATAAATGGATAGCTAGTTGGCTAGGTAAGAGGTTAGGTGGGGTGGATGGATGATAAATGGATGTACTAGATGGACAAATGGAGATAGATAATAGATGCTAGATAATAGGGAGATTGATTGATAGGTAAGAGACAGAAAAACAACAAGTGGCAAAATCCCAATCTACTATGTCTTTCATTGAACTCATGAGTCCAAAGAAACTAGATCAACTTCTCTTGGGCCTCCAATATCACTTTCCTCTTTGCAAATGCTACTGTTCAAGGACTTGGATTTTATTCTTGATAGAAAATGTTCTGAAGTCAACAAACTTAAAAGCCATTTACTCAGATGTACAAGACACCACAGTGCTAATATGTTCTCCAGAGACACATCCACTCTAAACTTGCTCAAATATTCCAAAGCAGCAGAAGCCTTGGCCCTTACCTGAAGGTGGATCCATTCTGTATTTATTCTCTTGACACCAACCAACTGGTCGAAGTCTGTAATCCAAGTAAAACAACCACTGGTCATAGGATTCAGTGTCCTCCAATCCCACATAGCGAAGGCGTAATCTTCCTCCAACATTTTCAATCACACTAACTATCCAGTACTGAAAAGGGTTCTGAGAATCCTGAAGTTCTATTAAGGAATCAACTGTAATGAGGTCTATAGGGCCTTTCCCTCGCAGAGGCTGTTTAAACAGAAGCAAAACTCCTTATTTTAAACTTTATTTTAAGGTTCTCATGGAAACAGATGACAGCAGAAGATAATATTTTTTCCACACTATCATCCAAGCTATGGCAAACAGTGTGCTGTCCCCACCCCACCCCCCCCCCCTCTTCTGCACAGCCACCCACCTGCCCCACCACCATCCCTTTCCTCCCTCACACACATCCATGTATGGATGCTTAACCAACAACCAAAATCCCAAGTAAACAGAAAATAACAGCTCTTGTGACTGATTTTCACCAAATAAATCACCCTTCCCAGATAAAATCACATTCGTTAAAAATTAGTACGCTTTTTAAGTACAGTTATACCCAAATTACATGGAGCTAAAAAAACGTAGTAAAATAATATCTGCTTCTTCAGAAAGACAGATACATCTGCTACTGAAAATGTATACCGTGAATTCTCTAGAGATGCCCATTTTACAACAGCCACTATTCTACTGGTCAGGAGAGATGTTCATACTTTGAGAAAAGTATGACTCCATAGAGATGTGACTAATACATGTTAATGACCAGCTAAATTTCTCTATTATGTGCAGTTATTTCTATGTTTAACCATTAACTTGGTAACTGGTTTGAAATATACATAACTATAGTTCCTTCTAAGAAAACTTCTTAGCATATATATGTTTTTTTTAAGTTAACACAGAAGGAATTTATTCCATCCCTTTGAAGGAACAAAAAAAATCATAATTTGGATTTGTTAACTCAACAATTAAATAGTAGCTATTAAGATAAACAATACACCAGGCAAAATGGCCATGAATAAAACTTGTTAACTGTGTACCAAAAGGTGGTACTCTGAAGTATCTATAAAATTCTTAGGAAGAGGGAAAAATAGAGTTAATTTCAGTAATATGGTCAAAAAAACCTTCACCTCCTTCCTAGTCATTCATAAAGTGTTCTCTTTTCAGAGACATTCTTTAAACAGATTTGGTCATTCAATAACTACTTAGAACATAATATTTTGGCCTTGTGGTTTTATTATGCATGACAAATATTAATATTTCATCATAAAGTTGTTTTTATACAACAATTAGGGTCCCAGGTTAATCTTTTTTTTCTTGTTCAGTACCTTCAAATTGCCTTAACTACATTTAAATATGTTCAACCATTTCTCCTCTCTGGATTTATAAGGTAAGCAAATACAATGATTAGTTAAGATTTGGGTGTTCAGATCTAGGGGTTAGGCATCTGAAATTGAGTATTTAATAAAACCACTTGTTAATGTGCTCCAAGACTACATTCAAGACATCTTTTTATGACCAATTCACAAGTTATTCTACAGGACTTATGTCTGATCAGTAATAAATGACAATGGATTTGACTTCAGAATCATGGCAGGCATTCAAACACAATATTTAGAATGAGTTCGCATCAAGCAAATTTTCCATCTACTACTTATACCATAGGGAAAGGTGAGTCAATGCCATGCAAATCCATCATCTATATAACTCAGTACAAAACAGGGAGTTAGGCTACTTAAGTAAAGATATTTGTATGTACACATGTATCTGCAGAAGGATATATGCAAAGGTGCCATTACACAGGTCTGAGATGCTTCAGAGATATAATAGTTGTATAAGAGCAATACATACTCCTTCCAGGAGGTTGGCAGGTGCTGTCCTCGAACCAGTCAAATCACGTATGAGGAATTCTGTCCAGTCTGCATACTTCTCTTTGATTGCTAGCAAGACAATGGAGGAGAAAAAAAAAAAACCTCACTTCAACACATTGGTAAAATATCAAAAAGACTAAAGGAAAAAAAAATCACTGCAGTTTTCTGTATGCTGGTATTAGTTCAATATTGTCCTTAATTTTTAACACTGGGATGAAGAAAGTAGTACCAAGGGTATGAAGATTTAATTTAGCTGTCGAGTGCTAGTCTAGCATGCTCAATGCCCTGGATTCAATCCCCAACACCACAACCAATAAATAAAATTAATTATTTTCTTTAAAAAAAAGAAAGTAGGAAATAATTCTATCAACAAATAGTGACTGTATGCCTGGGCATTGATTGGAGAAGCTGAGGTCCTCGGTCCTCAATCTACTTAAAAACCTCTTAGGGGGCTGGGAAGTTGGCTCAGTGGTAAGTGCTTGCCTCACATGCATGAGGCCCTGGGTTTGATTCCTCATAAGCAGAAAAGAGCTGGAAGTGGTACTGTGGCTCAAGTGGTAGAATGCTAGCCTTGAGCTGAAGAGCTGAGGGACAGCACCCAGGCCCAGAGTTCAGGCCCCATGACTGACAAAAAACAAACAAACAAAAAACCTCTTAGGAACTCCATGACTATATTACAAAGTACAGAATATAGGGGTTTCCAAGAAGAAAGGGGTCAATGGGGGAATGAAGGAATCAGAGGAATGCTTTTCAGTTGGAAAACAAGGCAAAGCCCTGTTATATGAGCAGTTATATGAGCAGTTTAAAGAGCAGGGAAGAAGAAAGTTTTTTCAAACTGAGAGGGCACAGCATAAGCTGATGAGTGATGGAGAGGAGGAGAAATGGAGAAAGCACAGTAAGCAAGAAAGCCTGAGGCACAGGCAAGACATTTAATCAATAGGTCATGATGGCTCATACCTGTAATCCTGGCTACTCAGGAAACAGAGATCTGAGGATCAGAGTTTAAAGCCAGCTGAACAGAAAAGTCTACAAGACTCTTACCTCTAATTAAACCAGCAAAACAACAACAACAAAAATCGGAGGTCATAAAGCACTAGTCAGTCTTTTGAAAAAGCTGAACAAGAACTCCATGAATTCAACCCCCAGTACTGGAACCAAAAAAAAAAAAAAAACCACTAACAACAACAACAATGATGATGATGATAAAAAGGATATCTCTGACAATATGTTAACTCTCTAAACAGAAACAAAGGAATATAAAAGTAAGAGAACTGAGACTTCTGGAAGTATCTACAAAAGTTACATGCCTGAAAATAGGGGTGACAGCATTTGAGCAAAAAGGAATGTATGTGAGTCTTTCTATGAAAGAGAACTCTCACTGGAAGGTGGACCTTCTGACAGTGCTTAGAATAACAAAATGCTGAAACAAGGATATAGGTTGAGCCATTGTAACAATGAGACATAGAAGACACTAAGTTGCAAACGAACTTTACAGCTTGGGGTGGGGGAGGATTTGGGGAGGTGGAGAGGGAAGGGATAGTAAGGGAGAAACAAAAGAGGGGGTAACAATGCTTGATAGGAAATGTACTCATGACTTTACTCATATAACTGTAACCCCTCTGTACAATATCTTTACAATAAAAAAGAAAAAGAAAAAGAATCCAAGACTTAATGACTTTCGAAGCTACAGGTCTACAAAGGCTTGGCTGGGAGAACCTACATCCCTGTAGGCCTGATATCTCTCAGAGCATCAAAGGATGGACAAAGTCAAACAGTGAGTGTCTCATCAGCCTTGGCCCAGACTCTGCCAGAATGCACTGAGATTCCAACCTTCCTGGTACAAGGAAAAGTGAGGTGAGCCACTTGGGATACATCTGGCACTTCACTGAGCCTTAGTAAAGGTCTGGGATTTGAGTGATTGGTGCATTGTTTGGACTCATCAAAGGCCAGATGCAAGCCTTTTTAGCTCAAACCTACAGGAACAGAGTTACTACATAAGGAAAGCTGGTCCAAGAGAGTGGGGCAGAGCTGGGCTCTGAGGTTAATTCTTCCATCACTGGTCAGTGGTAATATTTTGAGTAATTTACTCAATTTCTTTCATGAATAAAAGTGTTTACAAGGGAGCTATCAAGATGAAAGAAGAAACACATGTAAAAATAAATACATAAAACCATACTCAGCATACATTCAGCAATTAGTAAGTACTATGTCAGGTTTTATCACGAGAATCCATTTGATGATTACACATTGCCAACCATGATTGATTGTTCATTCCCACAATTCCTCTCCCACAAAGCCTGGGCAGGATTGCCACAAGAAAAAGACACAGTGTTAGCATTTTATGCAGAGATGTTTCCATAAAGAACACGTACTGTAATCAATACCTGCCTAGTACCATGATCCTGAATCTAGGTGAAAACCTACCTCCCGAGGGTTACTCTCCCAAATGAGGCTGAGAGGCAAAGCTTGACTGCACAGTGTTTAGCCCTGTCTGCTACCAAGAACAACTCATCCATCCATCCTCTTTTATTTCTACTTTTTTCCCTCAAAAAACAGCAAGCTCACCTTGTTTACAGACTTACCACACATGGTTTTAACCAAGCTTAGGCAAAAAAAGAAATGATAAATTGTTTAATACTCAAAAGACATTTCAAAAGCAAGAATGTCAATTTCCCGTGTACATATGAGCCAGCTCAGTGGACATGGAGAAGCTCATCCGTCCTACGTTATCATCAGTTACATTTACATCATTGTGTGATCTTATTGAGCACTCCTAGCCCTTAATTCTATCAAAGTCTGCCTCTTCAAAAGCCAAAGGGTGCTTCAAAAGTTAGGTAAAAGTGTATTTGATTAATTGAAATGATAAAGTGAAAATCTGAAATCAGTTGAAATGTATGCTTGTATGTTATTAGAGGAAGTTGAATGGTAGTATGGGGAAAAAATGATTCATGGGAAAAAATGATGGAAGCACCCACAAAATGGCTCTGAACTGTATCTATATTGAGCATGCGCAGATCTTCCTCAGCAGCATTCTCCTTGGAACCATGTACCTGTGGATAATAAGGTTCTATTGTGCTACTCATTTTAGACAAAGTCCAATAGAAATACATTATATGGAGCTAAAACTGCTCTTGTGGTCTATCAGTAACAAATTCAGTAATTTCAATGCTGTGGTATTTTTTTAAGATGCTGTTTTGTTTTGCAGTGGTGAAGATTGAACCCAGGGTCTTGTGTTACACAAATAATCTACTTCTGGGTGTACATCCAGCCAATGACAGCTTTTTATAAAACTAGCCAAAGTGACTGGTACCAACCAAAATGTACCAACCAAAAATGTACAAAATAATGCAATTAAAATTTACATGCACATTCTGATCTTCGAATACATCCTATAAGGTGGCTGTTCTTTAAACTTTTGCCCAAGTTTATAGAAAAAAAAGGGCAGAACAATACTTAAACCTCCAAATATTCAAATCCCAATCTTACATGGAGTCTTTCCATGTAAGATCTCTAACTCTCCAATAGTTCTCCAAAGAGATAAACCAATCATTTCAATAGGAGACATAATGAAATAGGAGACAAAAAAGGGGAGGTGGGGGGAGGATGGAAGGGGATGCGAAGGGGAAACAAAGGAGGAGGTTACAATGCTTGATAAGAAATGTACTCATTATCTTGCCCATGTAATTGTAACCCCTCTGTACAGTATTTTCACAATTAAAAAAACAGCTGTTTGTTTACCTACCAGTTTCAAGATTAGGACAAAACATACAATGGTATTCAATAACTATGTATTTCATATCTGATCACAAAAGCATCAGTTAGGCCACATGGAGCCCAGTGCTTGACAGGACTAATCGCTAACAGCCACTATTGGATGACCCATTTTCTGTGGGTTGTTTTGTACCATGTATATTATCTAACATAACATTAAGTTGAAACTTTTCAATTGCAAGCACCCTACAAAAGCACAGTACTATGCAAAAATGTAAACTGGCAGAATTCTAGAAAGAGAGTAGTGAAGATAGCTCTGAAATTTACATTCTGCGAACTGTCAAACCCAGAAAGCCCATCATTTTCCCTTACCATGTTTCTGCACAAGACTCTGAAGTGATCTTTTATGTTCTGCAAGATAGCTAGATAAACTGCTCACCACGGAAGATAGATCTAGAAAGCCATAAATAAAACTACACAGATCACTTTAAGTTAAAAATAAAACCATAGAGATGAAACAATCCTCAGAAATGTTGCTAGTTTTAAAAGAAAAATTGCTTCTGTCAACATTTTGTTCTCAAAGCTGAGTCTTCAAACACACAACAAACCTATGACAATAAATGTGACCATGAAATAAAAATTAAATGCAACAAATTCATAGTTCCCAGATGACAGAGTTATTTTAACTAATACTCAACTTGATTAAATTCTTGTATAATTAAGCCGCCTAAGAACCGCTTTGAATTCACTGCAAAAGAAGCCAGGGGGCTCTGTTTCATGCACCCATTTTAATTAGAGAGGCTAAAACTACCCATTTTTATTTGGTGACCCATCTCTCTTCAAAGACTCAAAGTCACGGGAATATAAATATAAGAACAAGCTTACTTAAATGGAAACCAAATTTTCATCCCATGGCCAATGCCTTTTTCTTAAAATCAAAGTACCAATCTACAAACGTTCAAATATGAACCCATCAACACCAGTACACCTATACCATCACAGACAAGATCTATGGCAGGAAGGAAATGATTGTCAGGGGAACTCTGTCATTTCAAGTAGACATGAGTTTATCAAAACTTGATAGCCACTGCATTGCTTTTTCAATGCACTGAGCGAAACCTAGAAATCCATAAGCATACTGTCAGTATCTTTTAAAACCTTCTAAAGGATGTAGTCCAATGTTTTATTCAGTTTTATTATGTAAAAATTCAAGTCTATCTTTTTGAAAATCCAAGGCACAGTCCATTACTGACCAATTTAGGGGAGGAACTCATATCATTCATGGCCTTGAGTTCCAGAAACACATCACACACACACACACACACACACACACACACAATTTCATGAAGACATTCAAT